CCATCCACCAACTGCGGTAGAATCTTTATTTTATTTAAATCTAAACCGTATAAATTATTTACTACTTACTAAACTGTCAGGTTCCGGCTTGTATCAAATATTTTAATACTAAAACTGCCACATCACGTATTCGGCCGCCAAGCGGTAATATGAGCATTACTGCATTCCGGTTTGGAAGGGTAAGGGTGCTGGTGAAATCACAGGCACAAGACTTTCGATTTATGTCTCATGGTGACCGGCACAGGGGTAATAATCTAAGGTATTTGCGATTTAAAGCTCTGAGTGGCACCTGCCATGAACAGGCACGTCGCTTACCATTAGGCGCAAGACTTGTTCGTCCCGTTACTTGCTACTATAAAAACAAAATTACTATTTTTCTACTTTAAATTTTTATTGAATTGATATATTTTTATGTGAAATTACTCCACTAGTTTGTTATAACTATTAATACAAAGATCGAACACTCAGAAAAAAATATTCGATAAAATTTTTTTTAGTTTTCATTGTGCTATAGCTTAGATCGGAACCGTGTTAATTTACTGTTTAGTTTTAAATGTTCATGCAAATATTGAATTGTCTTAATGAGAATAAACCTACCCTTTATCTGATGTTGTCATATGTTGTCCGTGGTCTTACACGCTGTACTTAGCAGGCAGAAATCATGATCTTCAAGACCTATTGCCAAGTACACCATACGTACATACAACCCATGGTGCAATTTCACGCAGGAGCCCGTCAGCGTCTTTCCCGTTCAATGCAATAACGGATTCAGGATTTTAATGAGGCTGCTTCGTTTCTACAGCGCATCGGAAATGTTTAAATAATAATAATAACGCACACACCCAATATAACCCCGCACTAGGGAAACCCTGTGTCGCGGGTGCCATGGACACACACATAGATAACCACAAATTACACCCAAACTCACGAGAGAAATAATTGTAGGCCATACAACTATTTCTCCCGGCCCAGGAATCGAACCTAGGACCTCTGCGTGGCAGTCCGGCATGGTAACCGTTCGGCTACAGAGGCAGTTAAATAATTGATGAAATGTAGTTAAATGATTAATGAAATGTTTTAATGAAAAAAACCGTGGTAGCTTGACCTACCGCTACTCAAGCAGAGACCGTGGGTTCGAATCCGGGCTTGAGCCTCTGAGTTTCTAGGAATTTATGTGCGAAATTTAATTTAAAGTTTACCATGATACTTTCGGTGAAGAAGGTTAACAACCCTCGTGAGGTCCCCAATTTGCATTGGGCCAGTGTGGTCGACCTAACCTAAGCCCTCACCTGGGTAACCTATCATAAAGTCGAAATTGTTTTTGTCCAAAATAACGTTTGTTCGAATTTTCATTACACTGAAAACTGAATTACAACGAAACAGCTGTTCTTTAAGTATACGTTGAATGTTTATCGCAAAGATACGATTAGGTTCGATTAGGTTCGGTTAAGTTAGGTTTCAAAAGAAAAAACATTTTCCTCCCAAAATTTCTTCGGGGTTATGAAATTTCGACCAAACGTTATTTCTGGAAAATGTCATTTCGGACTATTGATAGGTAACCCCTCACCTGAGAGGAGAATCGTGGGACATATAAATGGGTTGATGACCGTCTGGAATGTTTGTGCAAAAGTCTGACAAATAGACTGAAGGCAAGCGCCAACTCCATCCTAAAGACCGCGATGCCTGCGGGGAGGTACTATTCCTTCAGGTGCTTGTTAACAAAAACCAGAAAAATTAACAATATGTATCAATAACAATAACGCACACATACTCATAACCCCGCACTAGGGAAACCCTGTATTGCGGATGCCATGGACACACACATAAACAACCACAAGTTCACTCAAACTCACGAGAGAAATAAATGTAGGCCATACAAATATTTCTCTCGGCCCAATAATCAAACCCGGGACCTATACGTGGCAGCCCAGCGTGGTAACCGTTCGGCTACCGAGGCAGTCACTTATTGTAAATAGGGAATACTTTAAAAAAGGTTTTAAGTTGACTATTTAAATTAACAAATTAGATATTAAATTTCGTGATTATTTAAACCTCTATAAAATCGACAGTAAGTTAAATAAATACCTAAAAGAAAAAAACATTAAATGTAAGAAACCTGTAACAGGGCCTATTTAATTATGTACCCTGTGTTGTAATTGTACATCCAGCCTTAGAAGACAAATGTTTATAAGTTTAACTGAACAATGGCGCCAGAAAAGCGTATGGGAAACTTATGGCATTTTTTCTCCCTCTGCTGATACCTTTATACTGTCTTCATTATCTGATTGTTGACGTTAGTAAAATTGCTTATGGGAAAATTTAACGGTAAAACAAAATTCTTAAATTTAACAGACTTATAATAAACACCACTAAACAACCCTTGGAACAATATTTAGTTAAGAATTTTTTAAGATTTTTAACACTATTTAACTTTCTATTGCCTATAAAAAAACTTAGACACTTATTAGTTAAGTGATGTTCAATGAAGAAAAAATAATTCCTGGCAATATTAAAAGCCAAAAAACAAAAAAAAATTGCTGTCAGATGGCTATCATTTGACATTTGGAGCGAAAAACTAAAACCTAACTTGAGGACGTTTGTTTCGCAAAATAAGTGAAGGAAACTGACACTTGCCCAAGCCTAATGGCCGCCATTAACAAAAAAAAAAGTGGAGCAGTAGATCATATCGTTTTTTGTACATATTTGCGCTCCTTCGTCTAAAATGCCGCAAAATTGCAATATCACGCCGAAAATGTTCCATTTTTTCACAATTAAAGTAAAAATTGTCTCACAAAAAAAACAAAACAATTTTGCTTAACTCATTGACGTTTTGTAACCTGCTAACGGCTGATTAATGTAAGCTATCTTGTTAGTTAGCGAGTCAAACAAGATGCGGTGTTTAAGTTGGCAGCTTTTTAAACAACAAATTAATCAATCAACATTTATAGGTAAGATTTTTTTTAAACATTTTTTTTTTATCTTTTAAAACGTTAATTAATGTTTATAAGTAAAAGCTATTAGTTTTAAGACATTATAATATTTTTAAAACTTTTAAAACCGTCATAAATTATTTGTGATTTCTATACGTGGAATATTCCATGTTATATATGAATTGTATATAGATTGTTTATCATCGAACGTTAGTCATTTACCCCAGATACTATAAATGATAAGGGTGCTAGCGAAATAACAGGCACACTTATCAGCATGTGTCTCAGGGTGACAGGCGCAGTGGCAATGCCCCTCAGATCTTGCTGTGGCAGTACAATTAAATTGACAATATTTTACCATCGACTAAGTAAAGCCTTATTTAACCTTTAATAATATATTTTATATAAATTTTTACATTTTGTGACGAAACTGAAACAGCAGAAAATGTGTAAAAATAAATTAAAAAACTTTTCCTACTAAAATTTACGAATATTTAAATTGTTGAGTAACATAATGTCGTAGGCAGAAAAAAAGTAAAATATTATTAATAGTAGATTGTCCTAAAAATTTTATTTTAAATAAGACATGCGACTAATATTTTTATTTTCAAATTAAATTTATAAAAATTAAAAAATACCTTTGAGTAAGTTCATAAAAAGAAATTGCCCCCAAAAATTTGTGGAATTACATCTGTTTGCCAAGTTTTTTTGAAATGGATTAACGGAAATTCGGTGAAATCCAACCGGATTCATCTCCAATTTGCCACACTTAGAGGTGGGATATTTTCTTCAAATTTGAATGGGAATACTACTTTCCAAAACACTTACAAAAAATAATTAATTAAATCTTCTCTCAAATGTCGGAGTAATCTCGTAGCATACACTCACAAAAAATATTGCAGTTGAATTGAGACACTCCTCCTTTCTTTCCTTTGTGCAATTCCTCCGAAATTCCTCCAAATGTAAATTCCTCCACTTGCAAAGTGTGTATAATTTTTATTTATTTTTTTTTTAGTTTCCGGTGGGTTTTACTAATTAAATAGTCTTATATTGAGCACTGAGTCTCGTGACCCGTTGGTCCTAACTTCCAATGAAGGTAATCGATAGCTGAGTTTCATAGTTCATGTACCAAACTCTTTCCAAGTTTCCACGAAGTAAAAGTACATATAGCAGAGAGAGCACAAAACAATGAACGTATAGGAAACTGGATGAAAATCCATTGTTATTTACTTCGTGTCGCTTTCGCTTGTTCCCACTTACCACTCAGGAAATGGGCTACTGATTCAGCGATATGAAAACGAAATGATATTAGTGGTGCATTTCAGTAAAATTGCGGGTAAAATATATGCACTCTTGCCTCAATACTTTTATTGAAATACATACCAGAGTTGGGCTGGTAGCTGTAAAAGTATGTAACTGGGTGACGAAATACTTTCATATATTTCTCATAAATGGCGCTACAGCTAAAAAATCCTTGAAAAACCAAATCCAAAGATACGACGACAAGCGCATAGGAAAATTCGTGAGGTCCGCTTGTTCGTTCCGTCGCTCACTTAGTATAGCGTCTGCCACGGTATGCTAGAAGACGTAGGTTCAAATCCGGCCGGATAGAAGGAATTTTTTCTGTATTCATAATTATAACAATTCAATAAAAATTTGTGTACCAAAGTGCTTAGGTTTTCGCCATTACAACATATAGGAAATTAAACAAAGTTTTCGGATTTTATGGGCACGAAACGTTGGTTTGTTTGAAAAAACCCATATACGCGATTTAAGTCCATACAAATAGTTTCATTTCCTATATATATACCAAAGGTTCCTAAACTATATCATCTCGCAGACTACGTGCCAATTAACTGCATAAATTATGTGTCTGAAATAATTTTTTTCATTTAAATTTAATTTCTTTTTAATTATAGAGAAAGAACGCGCATTACGATTAAATAAAAAAAATCTTAACTAAATTTTTTGTCTCTCTGGAAAAATTCTTAAAATAGGCAACTAAATATGTAAAATCTCCTAAGCTTACAAAGGATTTTAAAAATTTTAAGCATTGTTTTTTTGTTTCAGGATGCTGACACCGTGGAAAAGCTTAATGAGAGCGGCGAATTAAGGAAAATGCTGAAACCTTATAAGGTAGACAAACTATTATTATTTCAACACTGAACTATTTCTACACACATACGCTTCCATATTTATATGGAGCACCGCTATTTAGTGGAATTCCCTGCCGGCAGACATATATTTAGTACCAGTAGAGCTCCTTGTAAAAGACCACCTTACCTATTTCTGCCGCTAAGCAGCAATGTGAGCATTACTGCGTTCCGGTTTTGAAAGGTAAGGGTGCTGGTGAAATTACAGGCACATAGGACTTATCAATTTATGTCTCAAGGTGACAGGGGCAGTTCCCCTCTAATCTTTTTAATTTAAAGCTCTGAGTGGCACTGCAACTGCTATGGACAGGCGTGTCGCTTACCAACAAACATACGACTTGTTCGTACCGTCACTGGATATCATATAAAAATCCCTAAACATTATAACTTGGGTCTTTTCAAGGCGAGACTGAATAAGAATAATTGTAAATGTTCATACTCCATCGTAGACCTCGTAGTCGCTTTCCACCATGTAAGATGGAGGTCAAATGCGCACTTAAGTATATATTTTATAAATAAAAAAACACAACACTGAAACTTAAAAACCATCCTAAATAATATAATGATTACGTCAAATAATCAAATCAATATGTGCCAGACAGCCACACCAATTGCCTGGTCTCAAACTGGAGAATTCCTTGTACTATGAGTACCACAGCAACGGAATTCACTCTGGAGCACTTCCCAGAACACCCAGACCAGAACCAATTCAGGAAAATTCATTTCAAATTGACCCTACCGGGAATCGAACCTGGGGTTTCGCATTCAGCGCCCACAATGTCAGCCATTAGACCACCGAGGTCGTCATATATACAAACATATACATTAATTTATCTGATCAGAATCTAGGTACTACCCTGACCTGTTTAATAAAAAAAGGCCTTTACCGTTCATTTTACATAGAAATAATAGTACACTGTTTTGCTAGGGCGAAAAGTAGATGGTTGCAAATGAATTGACACTTGACGGGGCCCCAGGCATTTGCGTATCACGAGTTGAAAAATACTTTGACGTGTAACACGATCAACACGACCATTTTTCCAAGATCTGTGAAATCACAACTCATCTTTGATCAGTAAATTTCATAAGTTGATTTTTTTTACATTAGAAGTCTTTAGGAGCTTGTGCTTCCTCAAGACGTCGAGCGGAGTCAATTTAAGTTGAAATTTTGACGAAAATACCTAGTCTTTTGTAATTTCATTAATTTTGTAATTAACTGCCTCCGTGGTCGAACGGTTACCATGCTGGACTGCCACGCAGAGGTCCTGGGTTCGATACACAGACCGGGAGAATTGTGTATGGCCTACAGTTATTTCTCTCGTGAGTTTGGATGTAATTGGTGTTTGTCTTTGTGTGTTCTTGGCACCCGCGATACAGGGTTTCCCTAGTGCGGGGCTATGAGAGTGTGCGTTAGTATTATTATTATTGTAATTAGTTACTACAAAGGTTCACACATAGTTTAAAAACCGTTTCTTCAACGCATTTAACCTAAATGCGTCTCATTAAAAAAATACATTTTATATCAAATTCATTATATTCTATTCTAAACTCCTTGCTAAGAAACCTTTGAATTTGATTTGTAAAAAGATCTTTTGTTAATGCCAGAGGGCTGAAAAATAAATACTCTTCCGCAATGGGCAAAAACCCCTAAGCTACGAGAGGTCGTCGAATAATTCCTACAATTGAAAACCAGTAAATTGCTTAGGCTTTTCTTCGACACGGTTTTAAGCGATTATATTATTTTAAATGATGTTTTGAGTTGAAGATAGTCGTTTTATTTTATTTACTTCTCCACGTGGCGATTGTCGAGTGACTTACATACAAGTTTTCATGTTGTCACCATCTCTGAGGTCTCGGGTTCGATCTCTGGTCGGGTCAATGTAGAAAAACTAACTTTTCAATGTTATCCCGGGTCTTTAAGTTCATGGTAAAATCGTTATTTCCGATTCCCATGTCACAAGTGCTCTAATAATTATAGTATCCGGTGTTGGGGCTACTTGTAAAAAATGCTGTTAGAATCCCCTTTCTTACATATTACATTTTTTATGCCAGTAAATAAAGTATCAAAAATTAAAGAATAAGAACTGCATATACAAATTAAATGTGTATTGAATTGATATTCAATTATATTTTGTGAAGTTACTCCACTAGTTTATTATAATTATTAATACAAAAATCAAACACTTAGAAAAAATTCCTTCGATCCGGCCAGATTCGAACCGACGTCTTCTAGTAAACCGTGCCGGACGCTATGCCAACTAACCCACGGAACGAACCAACGGACCTCACGAATTCTTCCATGTGCTTGCGTGTCGGATCTTTGTATTTTGGTTTTCAACGACTTTTTAGCTGTAGCGCCATCTATGAGAAATACAAATTCGTATACAAATTCAAATAAAAGTAAGGTAAGGAATTGGTATGTGTGCGCGCTTGTGTGCTTGCAGGTGTGTGTCAGCGTATGAGTAATGTTTATTTGTTTGTATCAATATTTTATTATTATTATTATATCTATTTTAAACACGAGTTTCATAATCTAATCTAATAAAATAAATAAATCTAATAAGTGTCAGAGATTAGAAAATTTGAGAAATGCGAAATATACTCGTATCTAAATACGAATTTAGATACGAGTTAGATACGAGTATATTTCGCATTTCTCAAATTTTCTAATCTCTCACACTCAGTCATTCGGAAGATTCATGTGGTGATATTAATGTTCTAATATTATTATTATTATATTATCAGGTGTTATTACACAGCAACGAAATTGCCACTCCAATCAATCACTCGCGACATTGTTTGTCAAAGGACGGACTAACTTTTGTTTCTATTCGATTCCCTTGAGCTGTAGATATAGGTGCATGTAATACGAAATATAGACTTCGTGCCAAATCTTTTCATTGCCTCTAAACCCCGCTGTTGAGGGAAAAATGATTTGTAGCACTAGAGCCCTTTGTGATAGAGCTCATCCAAGGAAGTACTGCCACCTTACCTATTTCTGCTGCCAAGCAATAATATGAGCATTCCTGCGTTCCGATTATGAAGGATAAACGTTGTGTGTTTTGCCACAATCGTCATGCTTTAAAGTTGGGTTAGCCTCAATCACAGTAACGTTCAATGTAGTTCTTTTTAGATTCAGATTCATTTATTTCTCAAATATAACATTACAGTATAAATTGCACTTATATTACATATCAAAGTATAAGAAATTATATTGAGATCGTCAGACAAAAATGAAAATTATAACAAAAATACACAATAATTAGAAAATTAACAACTCATTATATAATATTGATGTCATTAAATTACATATCAAATATCATTCTCCATCAAGGATCGTCATAAGCTGATACAATTATAAAAGAGGATGTCAATGCGGAAAAAATTAGAATAAAATAGAAAATACTCAATATCGTTACAATTTTAAGTCCATAAGTCTTAGTAATTAGGTAGTGTGTTAACTGTTCGACACACACATTTACTATCACCACCCATTCAAGTCTACTTTTAGTAACAGTGGAGTCCTTTCTCAAAGAGTTTGTCCAGGGAAGTACTACCACCTTACCAGCTATTTCTGCCGCCAAGCAATAATGTGAGCATTATGACGTTCCGGTTTAGACATGGACTTCTCAATCTTTGCGATTTAAAACTCTCAGTGGCATTGCAACTGTTATAGATAGGCGGGTCGCTTACCACCAGACGCACGACTTGTTTGTCCCGTCACTTGGTATAAAAAAAACTTACAAGTTCCGCGATAATAATAATTATGTGTAAGACAACCACGCCATTTACCTGGTCTCAAACTGGAGACTTTTTTATACTATGAGTACCGGAGCAACGCAATTCATTCAGGGACACCATACACAATACCCTGATCAGAACCAATATGGAACAATTTAAATAAAATTTTGAATAGTTACAGGTTATTCAAAAAGCTCTCACTAGATGTCACTAGTGGCGATGAATGCCGAAAGCCAGTACATAGATCTATAACAAAAACACATAGGACTTTCAACGGCTCGGTAACTAGATCCGTAGCTCAGTTGCTAAAGAGCAAAGCTACGGTGCAGCATGAACATGAGTTCAAGTCCCACTAGGTCAACGACATTTTTCTCTCTGTTCGATCTTTGTATTCATAATCCTAACAAAACTAGTGGAGTTATTTCATACAAAATCTCAATAAAAACATTTTAAGAATTTATTCGAAGATTCTGTAAACAAAAAATTTGATCCTTCACTTGATGGTGACCATAAGTTATTGGCAAATTTTGTCCAAACTTGCAGATTTAACACGGAGGACCATTGCACAAAACCAACTGCCACACCTTGCCTTTTCCGTTAACAAAGTATTATTAACAGAAACTCGCAAACTCACACTTACGTCACATCTTACTCAACAAACGAGATTCTTTTGAAGATAAAGTTGCTGTGCCATAAAATGTGATTGTTGTTCACAATGAACTTCTCTTTGGAAATTTTGAAAGTATTGATATAATTTTTGTTGGTACAGCCAGGATCACCTGAAAGTATGTATTAAACCTACCGCCACTTATTAATATTTATTTTATACTGGCAATATTTTTATATTTTTGAATAAACTTTCATAGGCTTCTCCCTGGTGGCACTGTGGCCGAATAGTCGTTAATACAACAACTGCCTCCGTGGCCGAACGGTTACCATGCTGGTCTACCACGAGAAATACCCGGACTACCGAGAGAAATATTTGTATGGCCCACATTTATTTCTCTCGTGAGTTTGGGTGTAATTTGTACTTGTCTATCTATGTGCGTGTCCATCGCAACCGCGATATATGGTTTCCCTAGTGCTTAGATATGAGTGTGATTCGTTATCATTGTTATTTATTTCGTTAAATATCATGATGATTTTATTAGGTACTATAATATTCATATATTTTTTGATAATCACACCTAACAAAGAAAAAATCCTTAGAATTCCTCCTGCTGAACTTGAACCAGCCACTTT